CTGATATCCCCTTCAGTATCTTTTTTCAAAGTGCTATAATTTTCAGAGAAGAGGTCTTTGATTTCTTTTGTTAGGTTGATTCTTAGGTATTTCAGTTTTTTGGATGCTATTGTGAAAGGAATTGTTTGCTCTATTTTTGCATGAGACTGTTTCTTATGCTGACCTTTGATGTGATTGCAGCCTGGCTTTAGTGCTGCAATGCAGTGATTCCATGAAGGACAAAGGCAGTGAGTACTGGACATTCTCTGCAAGAGGAATACTCAGCTGTGTCCGAGAGGCCATTAGGATAGCCACACCATTCATTTACTGGCGTCCTTTGGCTAGGTAATGTTCAACTTTTTGTGACGGTCCGATTTGATATGAGTATCAGAGTAATGGATACGCAGCTTGCCCTAAAACGTGTTCTCCAGCATGACTGATCCTAGGGACCAGGTGAAGAGTTATTTTGAAAATATGGGTTTCCCACCCCTTGAGGACTGATCCCATGGCCTGGAGCAGGACTGGAGAAGCCTCGCTTTTCCTGGGTAGTTCGGAGAATCACACAGGCTTGGTGCCCCAGCTTTAAACTCCCCACTTATTAACTTCTCTTAGCTGAGTTCTCTGTAAATGGTGCAGAGCTGGCCTTTTGAGTACACTCAGATTTTAAGGACTATCTCCAGGCCAAGTGGGGATTTTCCTTAGACAGGGATTTTGGCTCTGTCCTAAAACTGATGAATGTTCATTTGACACCATGGGAATCAGAGCCAAGTTCATTCAGATCTAAGAATTCCGTGAGCAGAATTTTAGCCTCACTACATTGCTTCCTTGTTCATTGCTTTATGTGCTTCACACTTGTAAAATTTGGATTCACTGCTAGCATTCCTAACCAGGCTGAATCCCTGTTCTTTGTTCTGTCAGTAGCAATACTTGCAAAAGATAGATCTAATTGTCAGGTCTCTAATTGAATAATTAGGAAGTAATTTAGAAAATAGAGAGTTTCACATTAATGAACATTGGTTAAACATTGCTAGGCACGGTGTGTGCTGGGCATTCCGCGTAGGTGCATAGATTTGTATTACAGACATGGAAAGTGAGCATGATTAAACATTTAGTCATTTCAGGGCCATTGTTTCTTCCTGATTCTTGCCCTATTAAACTTTCTCCCTCAGTTCTTTCTCTCCTAAAACTATTTTTTGTATTAGGGATTGAACCTAGGGCTTTTGGACTGAGCTACATCTCTAGCCCTTTCTTAAATATTTTATTTCGAGACAGAATCTCGCTGAGTTGCTGCATTGCCCAGGCTGGGCTTGAATTTCTCACCCTACTACCTCAGGTTCCCAAAGTTCTGGGATTAGAGGCATGCACCACTACGCCTGACTTTTGTTTCTGTTTTTATTTCTGGCATTAGTGCAGGTGGACTGTGCATGCTAGGCAAGTTCTCTATTGCTCACCTACATCCCCAGCCCTTGTCTTACTGATTTTTAAACTTGAACATGAACCAGGAAGTTTTTGTTTATTTATAACTTTGAACTGCATATTTTTTCCTACTTTAGGAGAAGGAAGTAAATAAAACAATGTAAACTCACATAAAGGATTAAAAAAAATTACTCAGGCATTGCCAGGTCAGCTTATCCTACCTTGGTCTAGCTTAAACTATGAAAAGAAAATTTTCCTTCATAGTGGTTAGCCACCTTCATGGAATCATATTTATTATACTCTCCGGTGAGCAGGGACCAGATTGTAGGTTAACTCACTTCTCTTGGAGCCATCTCTTTTAGCCATGTGACTTGGGCAGATGTGCTTCTCTAAGTTTGAGCTTCCTACTTTGAGCAGTGGGGAAAGTGCTCACATCAGCTGTCCTGGCAGGTCATAAGGGTCAGAAGGGACAAAGGTAAGAATAGAGTGAAAACTGTAAAAGGCTATATAGAGATGAGATTGAAATGCTCCACCAACTGGAAGTTCTTAGATCATCCTATTCTTTAAACATGTAGGTCACCTGAGTATTGTGTAGATAGAACCTGGCTCATACTGTTCTCACCATCCTCCCAAGGTGCTATGTGGCATTTCATGCCTGTCACCACAATTTGTCACACCAGTAGGCCCTTTACCTCCTATGGCTCAACATAGAGAAGGCTTTTTGAACTTCATCCAGCGGCATCTGAAAGGCTTATGAACTTAGAAATCATCCCTAATCTGACATTTTAACGAGAAAGCCATTATATCAGTGAGTCTTAGGACAGTTTTCTGAGGTGCTGAAACTTGTCATCAGAGTAAGGTTTGTTAGCTTACAGTTAAGTAAAAGCAGCTAAGTTACTTGAGACTTTATCTCAAGCAAGTTTCAAGCAAGCTTTCTGTTTGTGATTTTTAACTACTGGACTAGTGAATTTGCTTTTCTTTCGTGTACAGGTGTTCACGTAAACATAACTTCCCCACATCGAGTTCCACCCTTCTTATTAGAAGCATGTTTACAACATTTGGAATGGAGCAGTGCAGGAGAGATGACTATGACCCCGATGCAAGCCTGGAATACAGCGACGAAGAAACCTACCAGCAGTTCCTAGATTTCTACCATGACGTGGTGCCCGAGTTCAAGAACGTTGGGAAAGTGATTCAGTTCAAGGTGTGCGTGCGTGTGTGTGTGTGTGTGCGCGCGTAGGAGGGGACTGGTGCGCCTCACCCACAGGTACTCAATTCAGGGGAGAGCCGGGGCCCTGCTGTTCACCTGGATGGACTGCATGGGGTCAGCATGCAGGTGCTTGGGAAACGTCACCCCCAGCCCCTACTGATGCCGACGTATACTGACATGTGGCCTGAGTGCTAGAGTCTAGGTGGAAAGGACCCTTCATTTATTCATTACCTTTGTGCTGTGGCTCTTTGCCAGGGTTTGAGTTCTCTGCACATAGTCACCCAAGGCTTCACTGCGACACTGCCAGTGTCTTCTCTGTAGGTGCCTTGGCTCAAGCTGAGGGGCTTGCAGTGTGGCTCCACTTTACTCACTGAGTATGCTGGTGCATTGTGTTGACACCACCTGCTTGCAGCTTCTGCCCAAGAAATGTGCTTTCCTCTGGAGCTACACAGGGACATAGATCTTGATTTCCTCCTTTTCCCACATTTGTTTATAATCGTTGGCTACTTTCAGTACTGAATATAGTGTCCCAAATCCATGGTTTATGATGTAGTACACTAGGTGAAAAGGAGGCATTCAGATGCCACATAATTATTTTACAATATTTCCTAAAGTAGGCATACAGCCAGATGTAATCTGTGCTGTTCCTAGGACTCATTAGTTGAATCCTAGCATAGTGAACCCTAACATAGTGAACCTTAACATAGCAAACCCTACTTTGTCTGTGATTTGGTCAGTTCTAAATGCAGATGACTTTGTTATGTTAGGGCAAGGAAAATCTCTCTTAATTTGGAGAAAAACAGAAAAGAAGCTGTGTTTTTTTTCCTGCTACTGGAAATGATGGTGGAGAATTAGAACAGCAAAGAAACAAAAATATTCATAAAATTCAATGCTATGCCTCTGTCAACTGATTTCAAGATTTTAAAACATTCTTGTAAAGTCTCTTTTCCTCTTAATCTTTTATTTTTGTAGTGTGTACCGTCGTCTGAGCTGTCCTCGGCACAAGCTATAACTGCTAAAGTGCAAGTGCATGGTCATACCTAGCGATGACATGGAAGCATAGCCATGGAGGCAGTGTGGCTGGACCAGCCCTGCGCTCTCAGCCACATCATCTTCCCTCTGGGTGCTTGCTCCGTGTCCTGAAAGGGAGAGGATTTGATCCTCAGTGACTTCCCTTGTGGGGTCCCTGGATCATCCTATTTCTATGAAGCGGGAATGCTAGAGCTTTCAGAACTTCGGCCTGGTTAATGGAAATCACACCATTATTCGTGGCAGGCCACACCCACTAACCAGGAAGATTTTGTTTTGCCTTTGTTTAGAAAGCTGGTAGGATAGCCAAGCTCATGCTAATCATTTTGGCAATTACAAATGAAAAGCTGTTTAGTAAATTTTTAATAGGAACATTTTCAGAACATTGAATTCATTAGGGAAAATTAATAATGAGTCCTTGGGAACCACAGTATTAAATGATCTTTAAGGTCCTTGGCATGGCTGTCAGGCACTCCTGAGGCTTTTTATTCATACTTCCTTCTACAGATGGCATTGCAACCTGTCATTGAGTATGAGTTCTGCCCCTTTTTGGATGCTCTAATAAAAATATTCTAGAGCAAATTTGTACAATTATTGATTCATTTTGAAGATCAAAGCTAAATTCTAGTAGGAATATTTGAGGACCTTTTTATGTACCATTATATACAAACAAATCAAATGTCATTTTTGAAGGCAAATGATCAACAAATCAAACTTGTCAGTTTTGAAGACAAATGATCAAATGTTCAGCTTAACTAGTAATAGGAACAGTACATAGCAAAAGAGATATTATTCATGCCTCTTGGCCAACAAGTTATAAATTCTATTAATCCCAAGAGTAGGTGAGCATGTGTGTGTTAGTAAAACCACTCCAGAGGGCAGTTTGCCAAGGCATAGTGAAGTGGAAGGTATGTGTAACCTACAAATTAGTGTGCTGCTCCTGGTCCTTACACCCACGGAGATGTGTGTAAGAATGCTGACCACGCACCAATTGTAGGTGGAAAATTGGAAGCATCTTGGATTGCTTCATTAGAGGAGAAGATACATTAATTTGTTAATTTGATTTATCCAGTATATGCTAGTTGAGTCATTTAGTTAACATTATTTCATCTTGGAAAAGAAGCAATGTGGAATAAATGCCATTTATATAAAATTTTAAAACACACAAAGCAGCATTGTTTACCAGTGTATATATGCTTCTTTTTTTGTTTGTTTCATTTCTTTTTTTTGAGACAGGGTCTTGCTATGTAGCCCAGGCTGGTTTTGAATTTGCAGCAATCCTCCTCAGACTCCTAATGCTGATTATAGGCATGTGCCACCATGCCTGGCCTGCATATGCATTTCTTTGAATACATGTACATAAATATGTGTATATGCCCTTTGCATAATAGACATACATTTATATGTATGATACACACATTTTCTGGCATACAGATGATGTATGTATATATTTGTTCATGTAGATCTATATATGTACAGTGTATGTGTGTTTGTGTTTAGAATATGCAGGCTACACCCAGCCTCCAGATATTGCCCACCTATGTGATGGAGAAGAATAGGATAGAAAAACTTCAGCTGGGTGTTCAATGTTTTACTTAATTAAGCATTCTCGGGCTGGGGATTTAGCTCAGTGGTTTCACTGCCTGCTGTGCAAGTGCAAGGACCGGAGTTTGATCCCCGATCCAAAAAAAAAAAACAAAAAACATTCTCAGTCTGGAAAATGCTAGTGTTAAATCTGGGCAGTATTCCTATGGGCTGATTTACATTCTCTGTAATTTTTTTATGCCTGTGAAACATTTCATATTTCTGGGAAAAAAGACCTGGATCAACAGAGATCAGATAATTGGGGCCTTCAGTGCCATTATGTGCTGAAGTAGTTGTGCTTGGACACAAGAGTTGGCGAGTATATCTCTTTTGGAGTCTTTGATTGGTAATTAATTACTTTGGAGAATGTTAGCCTGGACAAAGAGCATTTGAAGACTGTGGTTTCTTTTTTAAGTTTTTTTAATGGTAACATTTGTCATTGTTCCTTAGGTTAGCTGCAACTTGGAACCTCATCTGAGGGGCAATGTCTATGTTCAATACCAGTCGTAAGTATTGTGCACATAAATGTCTTCATGTTTTGTCATAGTATAATATTTTGTTTTTGTTGATGTCTGGGACTTTTCTCCTGAATATATAGTTTTCATAGGCATAGTATTTTTCAAAACTAAATATTAAGAGCTGATATAGCAACAGAGAAGGGATTTGAAAGTAATACATTTGTGCTTCATTCTTTGTATACAGTAGTAGCTTTGAATCTTTTACAATATGGTTATATTATTATGTATATACTTTTAATAAATAAAATAGAAGCTGAAAATGGATAAAATAGATAAAATGGATAGAATAGATAAGATAAAATCTAAAGAGCCAGAGATTGAAGCCCAGCATAATGTTAGTGTGCATTTGACCAGCTAGGAGAGTGGCTGCTGTATTGCTTCTCCTCATCTTGCTGTTTGCCTGGTCACACCATAGCTAATGGGTTCAATTAACCACTGTAATACAGAGCACAGCAGGCCTAGCTGAGAAAGCAAAGGTGCTAACAATGGAAAACACTTCTGTAATTTTAATGGTCCAGTCTTGGATTAAGAAGATTTGACTCAAGCCAATTTCCATGGATCCAAACCTCTCAGATGGTTAGTAAAAAAGGTTCCTGAGTAAATTGTGAGCTGCAGGAGCCTGAATGCTCTAATAAGGACTCCTAGGCAGTACAAAAACAGTAAACTTGGTGGTCCTACAGTACATGAATAAAGGGGTTAATTAATAAAAGGGTTAATCTGCCTTAATAGTACAACTAATGAGTTATTATAAATCACATCCTTTGATTTTTGTTTTAAAGGGAAGAAGAATGCCACGCAGCCCTTTCTCTGTTTAATGGACGATGGTATGCAGGAAGACAGCTTCAATGTGAATTCTGCCCAGTGACCCGGTGGAAAATGGCAATTTGTGGTAATGATTTTTCCCCAGTTGTTCCACTGTTATATAAAAGGATATGCTAGGGGTGGGGGCAATCTTTTATGGGGTGACGCATAGCTTTTGCCTTATGCAGATGAACAGAGATATGTATGTAAAGGACACTACAGTTAGGATCTGTAACAGACCTTGTGGGTCACTTTATAGGTGAAGTGACTACGGTCACAATGTATCAGTGACAGTCGGGGCTAGAATTTCAGTCTTTTGATCTTCAGTCCAAGGTGCTTGTCTGACAATTCAGGAAGCCTGAGAAGCATCTTTAGGCAGCCTCATTGTCCTGGTTGCAGTTTCAGGTGTCTTCTGTTCATTGGCTGTCTTCACTTTGAGTTGAGTATTCCATCCTTGTCCCTAAGGAATCTCATTGCCACCACAAGCCTATAGATGCCACTTCCCACCTCATTTGATTTCATGCCCATGGTCCTATAGTATCAGTTAAGAGTGCATTCGGTGTTGTTCAGTTAGACTGGCTCGTTGGACAGTGGCAGCCGAACCAGGAAGTAATTCAGCACCGTGTGGAGAGCAGCCAGCAGCTTCAAAGGCCTAGTCATTCTCTGATTTCTAAAAGTGGCCTTGGCCAAGGCAGTGTGAAAGTCCCCAGGTGAACAGGTAATGCCTCAGGGATGCATTTGTCTTTCCCTTTACTTGTATTTCTTTGCTCTATGCTCTCACCTGCTGAAAATGTCTTAGTAAAAACTATATATAATTTATAAAGTCTGAATTTTTAGTAGCTTTGTCTTAATCGATGCTGTCATTTAAAAACCACTTTTTATGAAGAGTGAAAAAAGATTTTGGAATTCCTTGGCTTAAGAAAACCAGAAGAACCCTTACATCCTAAGTTTAAAAGCTCAGGAGATGAAAGAGATGGAATTGTTTTAGCCATAGAGGCAGTTACTTGTGCCATTCCTGGGAATCCAGTCAGTGATTTCAGTGAGGTGCTTCTGAGTATGGCTTGGACTGCCTCAAAACAGGACACTTGTTTTTTAACCACAGCTTTGTTATGCTCAGTGATTAATGATGTTGAACATCTTTCTATGTTCTTATTATTGGGCATTTGTATATCATCTTTAGAGAGATGTCTGTTCAGATCCTTGGTCCTTTTTTTTTGTTTTTTTTTTGGTACCGGGGATTGAATTTGGGTCCTTGCACTTGCGAGGCAGGCAGCAGAACCACTGAGCTAAATCCCTGGCCCCCTTGGTCCATTTTTCATTTTTACTTAGGCTTTTTATTGAGCCGTCAGAGTTCTCGACTTATCCTGCATACAAGTGCCTGATCACATTATGATCTACAAACTTTTCCCCTTTCTGTGCGCTTTTTACTTTGTGTCCTTTAAAGCCCAAAAGGTTTTGTGGAGCTTTTTTTTTTTTTTTGGCTTGTGCTTTTGATGTCCTACCTAGGACTCTGTTGCTTAGCCCAGGCTCACAAATATTTACCTGTAGTATGTTTTCTTCAGTTAATTGCATCTCTTACATTTAGGTCTTTGATACAGTTTGAGTTAATTTTTGTGTAGTGTGTGTTGTAGAGATAATTCATTTTTAATTGTTTCACATGTTTGGGGAATTTGCTGTTTTGTTTTTTTTTTTCAAGTTTGATCACCCCCAAAAGATAATAACTACTCAAAAAGATCTGAGTAGTTCGAACAGATTGAGCCTGACAAGAATCTTCTCTATTAAAAGCACTTTGTGAATTTAAGGCCAGTGTTTATCATCTTGTTCTTAAAATGTAAAGAAAATGCAGCATCCTCTGCCTATCTTGGCCTTCTCTTTTGACCAGTAGTTCTGTCCCTGCATTACCATGTCCTCAAAGCATGTAACCATATGGACCCTGAGGCCTGGTTCTTTAATTTTAATAATGGATGAAAATGGTCAGAGTGCTGGATGGTGACGCCTTAGGAAACATAATGTGGTCACTACATTTTCTTCTGCACTCTTGAGCTACAATAGGGACATGGGGTATTCTGGTTAATGAAAACTTCAAATTTATTACCTTTCTGAGTGTCATTTATTAGAGCATTTGAATATTTTTGGAATTCTGGGAACCACACTATTACTTTATATAAATTTATATAAGCCCCTTTTAATTAATAAGGGAAGGCAATAGTTGGAACCTATCCAGCATCAGAAGTACACCTTTGTAAAAGGGTGTCATCTTCCAAACACAAAGGAGTGACTGTCGTTTCATCACTGCCATGCAGGTTTATTTGAAATACAACAGTGTCCAAGAGGAAAACACTGTAACTTTCTCCATGTGTTCAGAAATCCCAACAATGAATTTTGGGAAGCTAATAGAGACCTCTACCTGTCTCCAGATCGGACTGGCTCCTCCTTTGGTAAGAACTTAGACAGGAGGGAAAGGGCGAGCTACCACGATGATTACTATAGCAGGCCTCGGAGGAGGCGAAGCCCAGGTCCAGACCACTCCAAGAGAAATGGGGAGTCTGAGCGGAAGAGGAGGAGTAGTCACAGAGGGAAGAAATCACACAAACACGCAAGAAGTCGTGAGAGGCACAGTTCCCGAAGTAGAGGAAGGAAAAGGAACCGCAGCCGGGACCGGGGAAGCCAGAGCCAGATCCGCAGGGGCCGCCGGAGCCGGAGCCGAAGCAGAAGCCGAAGTCCAAGCAGAAGCAGGAGTCGAACCCGCAGCCGGAGCCGGAGCAGGTCTAGGTCTAGGAGTCGTGGTGGCAGGAGGTCAGACAGTAGAGACAGAACCATTCAGAACCCCAAATCCAAATAAAGTTGCTTTGTTCTTAAATGATTGTATATTTTATGAGTGCTACATACCTGGATAAGAGTGTTATGAACTTAGATGGGTTCTTGAGTCTGGGCTTGGAATCCTGGTTTAAAGTACTTTTATTCTTTGATAGTTACAAAGTGTATTTAGTATAGAAAACCCAACAACATGAACTTTACTTGTAATTCTAACCTTGAGAGAGAATTAACAGTGGAGCATTGCTTTAGTCTTTTTGGCTCTAGTTGAATGTCTGTCACAAGAAACAGTGTTTCTTCAAGTCTTGTTGTTTTATTTTTACTTACTGCATAGTGTACATCTACCAGTTTATTCAACCAGATCCTTATTGGATTTTTAATTTTGTAGTAGCTGAGACTAATCTTGTGATGGATTTCCTTAACTTTTTCCACACATTTCTGATCATTTCCTTAGGCTGTATTACATCAGGATGAGTATTACATTTCCAAATTATCTTCCAGAAACACTGTGGAAAATTTATTACCAACAATAAACTTTACTGCTTCCACAACACTGTTATGGCCATTGATTCTTGTTTGCCCTTTTTAAATAGTGGATTTTTCTATATGCAAAAGCTGAATAGCTTTTTTGTTTTAAAATTGTTTTAAAGTACTAAAAGGTACAGTTCATTTGCCCCCTTCTATCCTGTATCTGCAGCCCTCCCCCCTTCAGCTGGGTGCTTTCTGCCAGGGTGTTTATCTTTTTAAAATAATGTATTAGAAAGTTCTTTATATATGGATATGGCTTGTCATTTACAGGAAAATTAGTCACTGCTAGTGAACATACCTAGTGTCAAAGCAATTCTGGTGTAAAAATAAGAACGGGGGCCCGGGGATTTAGCTCAGCAGCACCACATCTGCCTGGCAAGCACAAGGTCCCAAATTCAATCCCTGGTACGGGGGAAAAAAATAAAATAAGAACAGGGAATGGGGATGTAGCTCAGTGGCACTGTGCCTGCCTGGCAAGTGCAAGGTCCTAAGTTTGATCCCCGGTACCAAAAAAAAAAAATCAGAACAATGGTCAAAAAAGAGGCCCTAATGTATAAAAAGTTCCAGGCGTATTGTCCCTACATTTCAGACCATAAATAAGAAAAGATATTCTTACTCCTTATAAATTTTTTATAACTTTATTTCCACTGACATACTTTGAATTTTGAATTTCAGTATATGTGGTATTTGGCAATTTGAGATTTGGGAATAAGAATTTTAAAATGCAAAAATACTGAAAAAATAGCAGAAATTCATGAAGATTGAGATTTCTGCATGATATTAAGTATGAAAGTTCTTTAATTTGTAGTTAATAAACAAGTACATGGTTTAAAATAATTTTTTTTTTTTGGTACTGGGGAACTAACTCAATGACTTTGTGCTTGTGAGGCAGGCGCTGGTGCCACTGAGCTAAATCCCTGGCCCTAGAATAATTTCATTTTAAGGAATCAGATTTGTTCTAGACTTAAATGCCTGCTTTACCCTAAAACTGACTGAAAATTTCTGGATTTACTAGTGCTGAATAATTATCACTAAAGTCAGTACTTTTCAATACTTTTTCTAATTTCAGCCAAGATTACATGATTAAATGTGGCATGCAGATGAACTTATGTGTGTGTGTGTATTATTGGGGTCCCAGGGCCTCGGGCATACTAGGCAAGTGTTCTACCAGAGCTACATCTGCAGCCTTGAAGCTGAATTTTTTTTTTTTTTTGGTACCAGGGATCGAACTCAGGACCTTGCGCTTTCGAGGCAGGCGTGGTGCCACTGGGCTAAATCCCCAGCCCTGAA